GAGTGTCGATGAGATTCACGCGAAGTCAAAACTGTAGTCCAGCTTGGATGATAATATCTCTTGGAAGGCAAGGCTAAGCAATTAAATGTCATTTAGTGATCTTGGGTTACCACTGTTCTTATAAAATTGATTGATTCTACGTATTTGAGTACTGTGCAAAATATGGTCCTTCTCACCGGTGAAAATTCTGGGACTGTATCCAAAAGACTGCCCGATGCTGGAATGACGACAATAGTAGTACGTAAAAAATCCTTTGTAGGTCAGAATTTGTTTAATGCTATCCCCGGGTTAATTTATGAGAGGGTAGCTATATCACTTTTGTACGTCTTTCTCTATCTTTTATTGCCTTTCATAATCCCCATATTTTCATTAGGTTTTTACGGAAAACGTATACAGGAAAAAATAAGAAGAGGAATTCGAGACGTAATCGATGATAACATAAGTGCAAACGCAATAAGTGGATACATACTTTGAGATTTGTTGGAATGGGGGTGAAAATTTAGAGGAATTTATTAAGTTTGTGAACTGGCATAATGAAATAATAACAACAGAGGTGGAAGAGGATGAATAACTATCCTTCCTCAATGTCGAAATTATTCGCTCAAGCAAAACCCCAAAAGGAGATTATTTACAAGGAGGCCTCATGCAGAGGTAATCCTCAATTTCTAGTTTTATTACAACTGTAGACTGAAGATGGGAATAATGAGAAGCGTGATTATGAGAAGCCTAAGACCATCAAACACGGAGTTGTAGAATGAATGAATGGAGATGGTTAAATCATACAGAGAAATGTGCGGCCAATAAACAACAGGTGATGAGGAATAAAGGTGCCTACTCTCAGCTGAAATGTCCAGAAATTCAGACCAATACTAAGCAAATAGAGATCACGAAGGAAAAGAGAATACATTCTACACGACTACAGGTGCAATATGAGAAGATGAGAAAGCTGAAATATTGTAAAGTTTATAGAATAAAATGTAGCGACTGTCAGTAGAAGGATATTGCTGAAACCGGAGGACAAATCAGCATACAGATTGGGGAGCAAAGTCTAATGAAAAAAAGACTGGAAGAAGGCAAAATTAGCTAAAATTTCGCTTAAGGTAATAAAAGAATTATATTTGAATTTTCCTCACAAATAGATTAATAGGCTTCACGATTTTTTTGAGTATCATTTAACCCTGCTTCCTAAAAGGTATTCTTATCCACTGGACCACATCTTCGACCTCTTATGGGTCTCACCGGCACTCCCAAAATGACTCGAACTCGGATAGTTTAGCATATAAATGCTAGATGTTCCCACTACCATAGACTGCCACGAGAACCTGTGGGCCTCAAGGTAAAAGTAAATATCAAGGCATACCACATTTTATAAATGGGTTGCTTCTTAAGCAAACTTGTATTTGCCATTAAAGTTGACAGTACTACTTGCTTCAAAATTGGGTAGTATGTTTAGACTATAGTAAGCCTAAAGGACTGATAGTCACTTTTCACTCTCAATTAGAATACATAAAACGTTACCGACTGTGATTAGTTCGTCGTCAAATTAAGCGATCGTTGTCGACTGTAACATTATAACCTCGAAATCCTACTTAATATCAATCGAGTTGAATCATTAGGACTGCTCACAAAGATAATGCCTGTCCCTGAGATCTGCCAACCCAGAAAAATGGCTAAACTGAAGCAAGGAGAGAAGCACAGTTGTAAGTAGATATAGAGCGTTAGGGCGATATTAGCAAGCTTGACAATCACATTTCAGTGCGTGCTATCAGATACTTGCAGCAGATGACAGATGCTAACCGCCAACCACATAGCAACGTTATTATGGAGCATACCATCTCTCAGTAAGGCCTTAATTCTGGTGTTGGCAGGTCTTCTAAAATTTAAGTTCTCCTGACTAAAGCCATGTGGCCCATATCGACTCGGTAGAAGACAAGATAATAAGCCATAAATAAGGAAACATAATATTTAATTAGTTGTTTAGGGTTATGAAGGAATGGTAGCTGAATTTTCCCACAATTATATGAGTTTCTATTGAATTTCACATAGCTTTGGTAACGTCAGCTGTACTCATACCATTATGGGAAAATTAAATTACCATTCCTTCATCATCTTAAACGGAATAGGGTGAACACTATTCATATATCTGATTTACTGGTAGTTTCGAAAACCTACTAACTTATGAATATTTAATCACTAATTTATGATTCATAAAGTTATTCTTATGTCCAAATAAATCGCAAAAGTCATTAGAAGTCGAGACCCCCAGATGCCAAATATTTTGCAGCTGGCCTTCTATTCAGCCAGTTCAACATTTTAAGTAAGATCTGGGCTCACCAGAAGTCGCATATGGTGATGTAGGAGTAACGTGGTGACGCGGTATCAATTCCTGCTGGAGGTATTGACTTAAAGTCTTGAAGAAATGCTACCCATGTTGACTTACCGGTAAACTTCACCTTTGAGACTAACTCTGACATTTCGGACAGAGGTCCACCTTATCAGCTTACAAAGTATTCAAATAAGGAAGCCTATAGAAAAAAAACGATCTTCTCTGCCTCCTTGTTCCGGTGATTTGCAGGCTTCCGTCCTCCAGAACATAAGCACAATTGTACCTGGTTTTACGCTTTATCCTGCCTCTGACAAGCAATATTTTTCTACTAGC